CATTTAGGTATTTGATGGAATATGAATTAATACTTTATTAATTACATTATTTATTTATTTTATTTTGGGGAAAAAAAACGACTCTATACTGGTGGGGGTCAGTGCTGTTATAAATCCATAGATGATTAAATAAAAACTCTTTAGATGACAGCTGAAACATCTTCAGCTACAGAGTAAAAATCCGGTTGCTTTGTTGATAATTTTTTTAAGGTGATTTTCTTTGTCTGCACCAGCACACGACTGTTGTGTTGACAAAATATAAAGTAGGGGATCATTTTTTTATGTCTGCACCATTTTAGACAAATTTGTAGACATGAACTTGTAGACAGACTTAGAGATAAGATGAGGAGCTCCTTCATCTGGGGGTAGCTCAGATTTCTGACCTGACCAGAGTAAGAGGAAAGACATTTATAAACGGATAAAATGAATCAGTGATAAGACAGAGGAAATATGACTCTCTTGTATTAAAGGGGGGTTATCATGCTAAATTGACTTTTGAGTTTTATATTATGCAATAATGTCATTCCCTCATAAAAAACACACCCAGCATGTTGGAGAAATCCTTGAATCTCCTGTGGTAGACATGTGGAGCTGCCTAAATGTTTGTTGGTACCAAGCTCCGCCTATTTGCACAAAGCTCCTCCCTGGAGCTCAGTCTGCAGCCAAGCTGCCGCCCCACAGAGCAGCCCTCCCCACTCCACCAGCCGTGCTGAAGTGGGAGTGTTGGAAATGGTAGGAGGTTCTTAAAGAGACAGAGGCSAATTTCAAGGTTTTGATATATACAGCATTTGATTTTCATAACAATTGAACGGAACATTGATACTTGATTGTGGTATAGAACTGAATTATGTTTCTGGAAAATACACARTACTCCCCATGCCTGTGTAGAAAACAGAATCTCACAAAATGTTTCATGTGTTTCACAAATGAAATGTTCTCTTTTTTATTTGTGTTTCAGCTGATTAAAGTCATAGAGAGGATCTTGGCTTTCAGTCTGGACAGTCCACTTGCAAAGTTTCTGAACGGTTTGGAGATCCTGCTCAGTAAAGCACAGGTAGTTTCACAACACGTGTATCATGTATGAATGTGTTCATAAATTTAACTTAAAACTAAATTGACGGTCGTTTCTTTGTAAAGAGAAAAAGTAAATACCTCAGAAGATAAAACTTTTTACTCAGACAGGGTGTGTTCTGTTTTTTTGGTTGTTTATTTTCCCACAGGACTGGGAGAACAACGCCAGCAGATCTGTCTCTCTACGGAAAGAACTGGAAGCAGTCACTCAGCTCATCATCCAGTGGCGCAAACTGGAGCTGAAGTAAGATGAGATGTTTCTTTGAGATACTTGTAAAAATGCTCTGAACAGGTAGGTACATGTGTTCTGCTACCGTCTGGTTTGTAGTTGCTGGTCAAACAGTCTGGACAACGCAATGAAGCGACACACGGAGAAATCAACCAAACACTGGTTCTCCATCTACCAGATGGTTGAGAAGTATTTAGAAGAGGAGAGGGAGGAGGCAAATACAGGTACAGAACATCTCCCAGAGTGAGTTGAGTCATTAATCAGAAGAGTAATGTCCTCTGGTCTACCTTCTGTTCCTCATCTCTGACCTCTGCAGGCGAGAARGCGGAGCATCTCTCTCTGTCTTCAGTCTGCTCCACTCTCCAAGCTTTCATGGAGGGATCCACGGTGGGAGAGTTCCACACCCGTCTAAGAATGCTGCTCAGCTTCCACTGTCACCTCCTGCTGGTCCCCAACCAACCTGGACGAGGTCAGGAGTTAGCCCCGCCTCCTGTCACACATTGCACATGCAAGAAGTCCACCGTCAGCTGTGTAAACTGCTGTTTGCAGTCATTTCATTTAATTCATCTACATGTTCATTATACACAATATTTTGT